AGGAGGAGGAGGAGGAGGAGGGGGAGGACTGTAGGGTCTTTGGTGCTTTCTGAGTTTGGTGGGTTTCTTGCAGTCGTTTCATGACCCAACTAGGTCACATGATCAGTGCCAGAAGGGAATGAGATTTGTGGAATAGAGGAAGAGGAGGAGGAGGACTGTGGGGTCCTTGGTGCTCCCTGAGGTGGGTTCCTGCCCTCCCCCTCGCCGCCTTTATGCAAAAGTAATAGATCTCCTCCCCCCGGAATGAGTCTCTGCCCCGCCGCTCTCCTTGGTCCTTGCCTTGCAACGTGTCGGACCCCTCCGATTCCTCTGGCTTCTTCAGAGGCACCGACATGCTTCGCCTCGCTCTGGTCGCTCCGGAGGCGCTCAAAGAAGCCCACCCGGCCGTGCGTTCTGGCAGCCCCCTCCCCGGCTGTGGACGCGCCGTGGGCGGCGGTTGCTGGGCTGCTAACGCTCGACTCTGCCGTTCCTCGCCTCTCTCCCCCAGCCGACTTCAGCCTGCGCCTTTACGCGCGGAAGGCTCTCCAAGCGCGCCCGACGCCCCTTCCCCGCTTTTGCGACCGGCCGAAGTGAGCGGAGAGAATATTTGCAGGTCAGGGTTGAACTGCAGGGTCCTTGGCTGTCGCTGAGCAGGCTTGTTTTCTTGCAGACGTTTCACGACCCAACTAGGGAACATCCTCAGTGCTCCAAAGGAATGGGATTTGTGGAGAGGGGGAGGAGGAGGACTGTGGGGTCCTTGGTGCTCTCTGAGCTGGGTGGTTTTCTTGCAGACGTTTCATGACCCAACTAGGTCACGTCGTCAGTGCTGGAAGCCAACCTCATTCCCTTCCAGCACTGATGACCTTACCTAGCTGGGATTTAACATCTGCAAGAAAACAACCCAGCTTGGAGAGCACCAAGGATTGCTCAACCCCGTGGTGTTTGGCAGCAGACTCAGGAGCCCCCAGCGGTGCCCTGGCACAGGTGAGCATCTGGTAAACTCCACGCCAAGGGTGCCATTCTGGAAAAACCAGTCTATGTTCTTATGGAAGAATGGCACAGACCAGGATTAAGAACAGGGTGGTGCTGGCGCTAAGCCAGTCTCTGGTTCATTGTTTAGGCTTAGCATGGGAATCCAGCAACGGTGGCTTCCCATCGCTTAAGTCGTGGCATTAACATTGCTGATTGAGACTTCTATGGTGAACCAGGGGTTGAGGTAATGCGAAGGACCTCTTTTTAACAGAATAATAACAGAGCTGGAAGGGACCTTGGAGGTCTTCTAGTCCAACCCCCTGCTCAGGCAGGAAATCTTATACCATTTCAGACAAAGTGGCTGTCCAATCTCCTCTTAAAAACTTCCAGTGATGAAGCATCCACAACTTCTGGAGGCAGGTCATTCCATGGGTTAATTGTTCCCACTGTCAGGAAATTCCTCCTTAGTTCCAGATTGCTTCTCTCCTTCTCTTGTTTAGTTTCTACCCGTGGCTTCTTGTCCTGCCTTCAGGTGATCATATTAACAACCATGTTACCAATTTAACAACTGCAGCAAACACAGCAAGAAAAGTTGCAAAATGGGGCAAACATCACTTAACAAATGTCTCACTTTGCAAACCTAAATTCTGGGGTCAGTTGTGGTCATAAGTTGAGGACTATAGCTGCATTTGATGCAAGCACCCACCGAATTGAGGGAGGGAAGGAAGAAAAGAGTCAGGCGTCCAAAACGGTTGCCTTTCCGTTGTTGAGTCAAGTGCTACTCTGTGTTGACATTTTAGTCACCTTCGTGCAAAAGTTGAAAATAAATAGATCTTGTACTACAGGGGTTCCCAACCCCCTGGGCCACAGCCCAGAACTGGACCGTGGCTTATTCAGAACCGGGCCGCACAATGGCGAGCCGGGGCACACCTGAGCAGCTTGATTTACAAAAGTTGAGTTGTGCGTGCACGCGTGTGTGAGCCTCCTAATGGTTGTGCAAGTTGAGTCAAGCATGTGTGCACCGCCCCACAACTCGTGCGGCCCGCTTCCCCTCTCTCCCCCCAACCCCAGCCGGGCCACCCAGCCGCAAAGCCGGGGACGGCTGTTGTACAGGCACCTCTGTGTAACGTGCACACAGGTTTTTATTCAAAGGGCTTGGAGAAGGAAAGCAGCTGTTGTCTCTTTTTCTTTCTTTTTTTTCCTCCTCGTCCCAGCTACTGCTTCGGAGGGATCAAACCGTGCAATATGTCTAAAGGAAGAGGGAAGATGATGGTGGAATTCTTCTCCGCGGCGATGGTGGTCAGAGTTTGCAGGTAGCGAAGCTGCAGAGCGGCCGGGTTCTCGCAGATGATGGCTGCGGCCTTCTGCAGAGCCCGCGAGGCGTTCATTTCGCCCTCCGCCGCGATCACCTGGAAGGCAGGAGGCCGAATAGAAAAGCAGGTTACTGGGATTTGCGGCGTGAGTTTCCCTAACCACTTTGTCGAACCAGGCACAGTTGGCTGGGTTCGACCACCCCAGCCTGGATGCCGGAGCCCCGGTGGGTGGTTGAGCTAAAATCCATCCTCTTATTCAGCCCGAATTCTGAATCTGAATGATTGTCTCCTCTTTCTTCTGTTCTCCCAAAACTGAGACCTGCTCTGCAGGTGGGAGAGATCAGCATCTGGATCCCTGAGGATGCATGTATTTATTTGATTTTTCTCCCGCTTTTATTATTGCTTATGAGAAGTAAGGCGGAAAACGTGTCTTAAATCCTTCTTCCTGTCTTTATTTTCCACATGAGAATGAACCTGTGGTTGAGCTGAAAGAGAGTCCTTGGCCCAAAGTCACCCAGCCAGCTTTCATATCTAAGAGGGGACTAGAACTCACCGTCTCCTGGTGATGGGCCCAAAGTCACCCAGCCAGCCTTCATATTCTAAGAGGGGACTAGAACTCACCGTCTCCTGGTGATGGGCCCAAAGTCACCCAGCCAGCTTTCATATCTAAGAGGGGACTAGAACTCACCGTCTCCTGGTGATGGGCCCAAAGTCAC